ACTCCATCATATAGGAGAATGGGTAAATCCTTCAGTTTTCCCTATTTTTTCTAGAGATTCCAGTCATTATGAACAAAAACGAAATCACTAATTCAACTCTTTGATGGGTCTCGAGTGTGGATATCCAACCACTTAAATTTAAAAGAGATATGAGCCTGCATATCACCAATAAATCAATCCATCCGAGAAAGGCACTCTATAGACAATATCGCTCCATGATTTTTGAAAAACATGATAAATTCCATTATGATTGACATGGATCTATGAAAAAGCTAGGACAAACTCACTTTATATGTTACTAAAATGTCAATCAACTTTGAAGGAGGGGGAAATTATAGCCTTGCTCACAAATTGAACTCGTACACCGTCAAAAATCCCAGGGGAGGGGAATATGTACGAGTGGATCTTTCAGGCACTTTCATCATAAGATTGATAGGGAAGTGAATTTTCTTTCCAAAAATGATAAAGGAATCACTAGTTATGATGGATATGATGTCATCAGCTTTGACCACTTTCTGAGTCTTCTTCAGACCCTTAGTTCAAACAGCAGGGCAATCTCCTTTTGCTGGGGGGATTTTGGTGGAGGTTATGTCACCCATTTAAACTTCTACACTAAAGAGGGGCACTAAATTTGAGTAGGGGATTCCAGCTACTAAAAGTAGTGGAATGCCTCTAGAATAAGAAGGAAAATAGGAGAGAAAGAAAAGGAAAGGCTACAAATTTACTTCCTACATAATGAGAGAGTGGTCCTAAATTTTGAGTATGTGGGATGCCCTTACTAAAATAGGGGAATGCCTCAACTGTAAGAAAGTTAGAATGAGGGAAGAGAAGGAAAAGGAACATCTACAAAAATTCTAACTTTTATACAAGGAAAGGAGCACTGAATTTTAGTAGGGGATGTTGCCTACCAAAAATAGAGGTATATATATATAATACAGTAATACAGCCGATTATTAACTGGCTACCTATTCATCTTGCACCCCAAAGGGCGCACCATTTTAGCGCTTGCGGCAGCATCCTCCGGTGGGTGCCGACCTATTGGTCAGCTAGTTCAGCTGCCTAAACGTACTCGGGCTCCGATTTCAGGCACAAACAATCCAAATTGGATGTTTTTGAGGCCCCCAAAATCATTTTCGACATTCCAGATCCTATTTTGGTACTTTTAGAGCTCAATGGAGCTTTTAAGATCAAGTTTAAAGAAAATTATATTTTTTAGAATAGATTTTTCTAACATTCGATGAATTTGGAGTGTTGTGATATATATTTTTGGACTTTTAGAGTTTCTACATTCGCAGATTTGGGGCCAACTAATATATCATAAAAAAATTATCTTGATCGGGCACGAATCTCGAGGCAAAAATCAAGTTGGAAACTTTAAAAACTATATTGGAGACCATTTAATCTCCAATTTCATCAAACTTATAGTCGAATTTAACGACTTAGAAATACGAACCCAACGACACCAAATTCGACTCAATCCAAGCCCAAATGAGTCCAAATCAAGACCTGAAGCACATTTGGAGGGTTCAAACTATAATTTGGATTACCAAAAAGTTTTCAAATATGGCGTGCTTATAGTTGAATGGGGTGGCTCGACGAGACAAATCCAATGAGCTCATGATCTTCGAATTATGATATCATTAGGTCCTTCAAATGCCTAATAAATTGTCCATGATCAATCGATTCAACATTGGCTATCCATTCAAATCACTCCCATTTTATCAATGATCTTTCTCCTATTTACTAGTCATGCCACTCACAGAAAACTATAATTATACACCACATTTCTCTTAAGTGGGGACCCCAAGCAGGAAGAGAATATAATGGAAAAAAGGAAGAGAATCCTCCTCGACCACCGCCAGACTTTCACCCAACAGCCGACTGACGCCGGAATTAAGAAAGGAAGCAAGAAGAGAAGAGAATGAAGAAAAGAAGGAAGAAAAGGAAGAGATGGAAGAGACTCCTCCTCAACCACCGCAGGACTTTCACCCGACAACTGACCGACACCAGAATTAAGTAAGGAAGCAAGAAGAGAAAGAAGAAAATGAAGAAGAGACTCCTCCTTGACCACTGCCAGACTTTCTCTCGGTAGCCGACCGACGCGAGAGTTCTGCCTGATCGCCAACTAACGCCAGAATTCTGCCTGACCGTCAACTAACGTCGGAGTTCTACCCGATAGCTGGCTGAAGCTAGAGTTCTGCCCGACAACCAACCGATGCCAGAGATATGTCCGACCACCCAATATCGCCAAAATTTTAATATCTGTTTGTAACCGAATTTCAACCCGAGAGTTGTAATAGTGGGGACCCCAAGCAGGAAGAGAATATAATGGAAAAAAGGAAGAGAATCCTCCTCGACCACCGCCAGACTTTCACCCAACAGCCGACTGACGCCGGAATTAAGAAAGGAAGCAAGAAGAGAAGAGAATGAAGAAAAGAAGGAAGAAAAGGAAGAGATGGAAGAGACTCCTCCTCAACCACCGCAGGACTTTCACCCGACAACTGACCGACACCAGAATTAAGTAAGGAAGCAAGAAGAGAAAGAAGAAAATGAAGAAGAGACTCCTCCTTGACCACTGCCAGACTTTCTCTCGGTAGCCGACAGACGCGAGAGTTCTGCCTGATCGCCAACTAACGGCAGAATTCTGCCCGACCGTCAACTAACATCGGAGTTCTACCCGATAGCTGGCTGAAGCTAGAGTTCTGCCCGACAACCAACCGATGCCAGAGATATGTCCGACCACCCAATATCGCCAAAATTTTAATATCTGTTTGTAACTGAATTTCAACCCGAGAGTTGTAATCTGGTCGTCCTCAATTTCAGGGATGAGTCACCCACTTGTAATTTAAGCAAACACTAGTGGAATCCTTTCAACTGGGCATGGCCTCGTGGTTTTTCCCTTTCCAGAGTTTTCACATTTCAGATCCATTCTGGTGTTCTTTTTTTATTCTGTTTGTGCGCTGGATATCCGTACAAGGCTAAGACGTAAAATTTTCTAACACTATCGCCATGTATACTCTAGTCCACAACAACTCTAAAAAAATTCATTTGTGGAACTCAACTCTAACTCTGTGTATTTGGTTTTAAAATTTTATATAAATAAACCATTTTTTCTAACTTTTAGAGATTAATGCATTTTAGTTTTAAAAATAAAATCATTAAGAGCAATGCTAGTAGGTCCAACTCAAATTTGTTTGAACATTTTGAATGAAATCATGTAAAATGTCACCATTCCTCAAATTATAAGTTATGGTTTAGTTTGAAGAAATTCCTCCGTTTGAAGAAATTGGAGGAAATGAAAATGCATTTTATTTCTTTTTTTTAGTATCTGAATCTAACCTAATTTTAGGGAATTGAATTTAGCTAGAAAATATGAACAAATAAAAATTTTCATTGATAATTTTCTATCAAACAAAGAAATATTTATCTGGCCTTCATTGTGGCTCTAATGAGCCATCTAATTATAAACAAATAATAAAATAAAAACTTTTATCAATCAAATAACAAAAATAAATTCACTCAACTTCTTCTCCATCAAAGAAAAAGATGATAACTAATTCCAATTCAATTTATTTCCTTATTTTTAGTGTATTTTATTTTTTTTCATTTCCATCCATACAATTCCTTTGAATCCCAAAAACTTACTACCTTAACCTTACTAAGTAAATTCTCAATTTTGGTTAAATAAGAGTAGTTTAGGCTTCGTTTGGGATGATTTTCTTGCTGCTTCTTAAGACAACTTTTTAGTATAAAAATTAATTTTTTTATACCAAAAAGCTGCTTTATGAAGCAGTAAGAGAATAGGCCCAAAGGAAGCCTTAGATCCTCTAGTTAGGAAGCTAATCGTATTTTGTAAAGTGACCTATATCTCATCCATTAATAGATCATTGAATTTGCCTAGCTATATAATTAAATATATAGCTGTATTTAATGCGCGGTTGAAGTGAGTGATATGTTTCCAAGGATATTTGACTCTTAGAGAAAAAAACATATAAGATAGATCACCAAAAGATAAAATATTTGAATCTTATAAATTGTTATACTATTATTCAATATAATTAATAATTTGGGACCATCAAACTACAAAAAAATGAGTGAAAACATGTATGCATGATAGGTCACCAAAAGACAAACTAAATGAAGCTTGTAAGTTATTATATCATTATTGAGTATAATCATTTAAGGAGGTGTCGGGTCCTTACTGACCTCTTGACTATAGAAAATTGAGCGAAAAATATGAATGATGGGTCACCAAAAGAAAAAAAAAATATATAAAGATTGCAAATTGGTATATCATTATTGAATGATATCATTTATGGTTGTATCAAAGACTCTACATTTAACTAATTTGGTGATGTTCTACAAGGAAATTATTCATTATATATTCATATAAGAGACTAGTAGAATCATTCATTATATATATTTTGGTTGGTGTGTAATTAGCCCATCCTAAGTAGAAATGTGAATTGTCTAATAATGAAATAATGAAAGCATAATTGTAGTGTGCTCTTCTATTAAGTATACAATTTATGTCTAATTGGCTTGGCACATGTATTGAAAGTTAAGATCATCTCCAACCGAACTACATAATATTGTATGATGTTCGTCATTCGCTGCATTCGAACTCCAAATCTCACATCAAAATTCAGTAGGTGAACAGTGTGATGCCAATATTGTCGTCGTACTGTTCACCTACACCAAAAAATTGGGTTGCCAAATTTGCCGAAGAAGAGTGCAAAAGAGGAGAGAGATTGTTACTTCGCATAAGCCACGAAAGAAGAAAGAAATACAGTTCGATTGGAGATGAATTACGATATTTTAAAGTTTTAATGCATTTTAGAATGACAAATGGGTTTTTCGGTTGGAGATATTCTAAATTTGAATTTGAGGCTTTGAACTTTTAGCATCTTATGTGTATGTTTGGCAGGTCATCTCTAAATTTGAACAATTTGGCACTCTCATCTCATGTGCCTTCTCCTTTTGTTTATTTTAAGGAAAAAAATTAGGATGCTTTCCTACTCAATTCAAAATAACGTTCTTTTTTAGCTTTGATCAACGGATCTGTCGCCGGCTGACAGGGGGGGAGAGAGAGAGAGAGAGGGAGAGAGAGAGAGATGGAGGAAGACGCCGTGATCTCCACTGAAACGCTAGGTAGGAAGCTTTCGAGGTCGGCGAAGGTGAAGAAGCCGGAGACGAAGAGGATCAGTCCAAGGAACCAGCTCAGTGATTTCAACATCCACGCTATTCCTCCACTTCAAACTTCAGCTGAGGGCCAAAGAAGAGGATGCTTCCGTTTCCTCCGTCCTAATTCCTCGTCCAAGGAGGACTCCTTCCTAAGATCCAAATGCCAGCACCGTACTCCCAAATCTGCTCCTCCAATTTCGAGAAACCTCTCCTCGAAAGAAATCACTAATCCCACTTCATTACGGAACAATAACCGTTCAAAACCCATCTCTGAGAACCCTCAGAACATCCGATCGAAGAAGCCTGCGAAGCCGAATACCCCAGATCTTCTCCATAAATGGAATCTGCGAAGACCTATTTCGAGAGAGCTCACTGGAGGTAAAATTAAGAAACCTGAAACTATCTGTAAGGTCGATTTTAAGGGGAAAATTGGATCTGGTATGGCTTCTACTCGAGAGAGAGCTATTACGCCTGAACTGATTAAGCCTGGTTCTGAGGCGAAGGAAGGCAAGGAACAGCTTTCGGCAACTCCTCGATCCAACCCCACGCCTCCCATTCAGGCCTCGATATCGCCGGAGGTCCCCTGCGGTTTAACTGTGGCTCCGACTCCAGTGTGTTTCGCTACAGGGCATGTTATAGCCGGCATCCAAGACCGTAGAAAGTGCAGGCCTCGTGGCATTCTAACCATTGGCGAGGAGCAGAGTAATATATCTCGGGTTTCTTCAGCGCCTCCGCCTCTTGCCGAAGCTTCCGTTTGCTGGTTTTCATCTCCCTTAGTCATTGGAAATGGAAGTGGCAGGGATGCCTCTAGTTCTGAAGTTCGGACTTTCGATTTTCCTGATGAAGCTTCTGTTAACTGGCTTCTGTCTCCATTTGATGTAGTGGAGAAAGAGATTGGGACTAGTTCAGTGAAGAAAAAGTTTTCCATTTTGGATGCTGAAATTGGAGTGGAAAAAACACCATCATCTTGCACTGGGATTATAAGAACTCCTACTTCGAACAGTAGTGTAAGTCCTTTTTCAGTCATTGTACAACGGGCAGAAGCATCTTCCAGGCTCCAAGTTCTTAACTTTCGCAAGGAGAAAGTAGAATATAGATATGGCGATGCTTTAGATGTTTCTCCTTTTTCTGAGAAATCCTGGAGCAACAGTGGTGCTGTTTCTACTCCATCATCATATACCAATTCCAGAAGAAATGGTGTCATATCTCCTTTGGAGACTGATTCTGCTACGGAGGATTTGAGAGCAATGAGACTGTCATCGAAACAAGCATCAGGCAACAACCAGAATGATATTTCACCATTGCATGGGTTGAGCTTCAACTTTGGTTGCCAACCTACACCTACACCTTTGAGCTCCATTGATCTGAATTGTTTCAAAAGCTCTAGATGTGATGAGCTCTCCAAGTTAGAGGTTAGAGAGAAGAATTTATCAGCATCAGGTGCAAGGATATCATGGCGAGATGGACTTCTTAGTAGGATTTTTCAGATGGGCGAGTTGGATTCTTATCACAATTTTTTTGATGATGATGAAAATGCTTATTATCCAAGAGATGGCAATGTCAAATCTGAATTTGGTTTTAAATATGCCTTGGAAAATGTGAATTCGGCCTTTGAAAAAGTAAATGGTTTTGGATCATACGAGTTTCCAGACGACAACAACAAAATAGGTGTTCAAAAGTGTCAATCAGAAGTTCCTCCTATGGAGCCCAATTCATTTGCTGAATCAATTAGCACAGAAGGTGGTCTTATCTCTTCTGGTGACTCTGATTGGACTGTTTTTTACAAAAATACTTTATTTGAAGTTTGAATGTATCTTTACATCTTGCCCATTATTTTCCAATGAACATAATTTTCGATCCTTCTTGGAAAAAATTTTATGTTTGTTTTTAAGGAAATTACTCTACCACTTGCATGATACTTGTTATGTGTTCTAGTGCTGGGTGGGCTTTCAATCTACAATTTGCATGTGTTTGTAGTTTTACTTTTAGATGATGGACCCATTTGTTTGCTTTCTCCTTTTTTCTTTCGTTACACCTCTCCCTTTTTTGGCTCTCCCTCAAGCTTCTTCTTTCACCTTGCTACTCGTGGACTCTACCCTCCACAACCTATTCCCTAATTGTTGTGCCCTACGACCTTAACTAGTTAGCAACTTGAACCCAAATAATATATCTATTATCCTTTCATGCTATCTAAAGCATTAAAAAGGGTCTTTTGCAATACAATGTTGTATGTCATTTTATAACTATCAGTCTTTGTCATGATAATTGGCATCATCCCAATTTCTTTGGAGAGGCATTATGTCTTGATCACTCTTGATCGCTCTTATTAGCTACACAATAATGCACCAACACTTCGTAATAATGAAGCATGTTGTGTCAGATACGTGTACTTGTCACATATCAAACATGTCATTCACATGTCCAATTAAAAAATAAGAAAAATTCATAGAAATGTGTGTTGTGTCTTGAATAATAAATTTTTAACTTTTAAAATTATTTTACATAAAAAAATTTAGTTAGGCTGCTTATTATTTTAAAATAGATTACTTAAATAGCTTAATAGCTAATTAACACTAACTTAATTTCTCTTGTCCTACATTATTTTCCTATGATATTTTAAATAATTTTTATTTTTTAAAATTTTGATAAATGAATCAATTACCTTTACTTCAAGCTAGCAATCTATAATATCATGTGACTTTGGCTGAAAAATCAATGCATTGTAAAAGGAATACTTGGAGTTATTTGGATGAGTGTAAAAGTAATATAATATGTTACTTTTATTTATTTGATTTGAGTAAAATTAATATAATGACAGAGGGCCTAAGAATCGAAATAGATCGATAAGTATCTCAACTTATTAGATTTAACTGACCTTATTCTTCTGCGCATGTTCCCATTATCGATATTTAAAATATAATATGAATTACAATTAGCTTTCTTACATCATTTGATATCCTAGTTAAGGATGAAATCTCCAACATTACCGAATTTCATTGCAATAAAAACTACTTATAACCATTAAAAAATCATCCAACTATCAGACAATGATAAGTCTAAGCTTAAATGTGAATATAGGTGGCCGATGATGGCGGTGGGAGGCGCTGGTGGCTAGTGGTGGTGATCTGTAGTGGTCGGCAGGGGCGGTTGGCAGGCGACGGTGGTGGCGGGAGTGGTGATCGGTTGGGGCGGAGTGTTGTGGTGGCCTGCGGCTGTAGTGGTGGGATGTTGCAATGGGCGTCAATGATAGTTAGCAGCCGGTGGCGGTGGCTAGTGGCAATGGTCAATGGCAGTGATGGTCGGCGATTGCGGGAATCAACAGTGGCAGTGGTGGTCAGGTGGAGACAAATAGTGGTTTGTGGTTGCGGACGGTGGTCGGCGGCCAGCGCGTGACGGCTGTGGGCGGCTACAATTGCAATAATTTTCTAGTATATTTGAAACTCGTCCAAATCGGAGGAATTCATAATACTCCAAAAATGAATTAGATGGTGAATTTTAAATACACCAAAATTTTGCACAGCTTTTATTTTACTTCAACAAACGTCAATATTTTCAAAATCTCTGCGTTTGGAATACTTTCCACTCCTTTTGTAGGCAATCAAATAGCCCCTTAATAAATTTAAATATATTTCTTATTTTATGAGTAATTGAAATAAATTTAAATATATTTCTTATTTTATGAGTAATTTGATTGTCATGTAATCTATGATGCACCGACATGGACACGCGACACGGACACGGGACACAGGAATTTTTAAAAATATAGGACAAGGGTGTGGCATGGACACGGCATAATAATTTTTTAATATAATATATAGAAATTAAGGTGACATTATAGTAAAAATGACAAGCAATCAACTGCGACGTAGTAATCTTATGACACATTTTTATTCCATGGCCAGAAATTTTAAGTAGACGTGCCTTCACCCTAGAATAAGATCCTTTGTAGGTGTCATCAAAATAACTGCATTTGAATGACACATTCCCTCCTCCTTCAAATGTTTTTCCTAACTTTGTAACATGAATTCATAACGTCTTATCGGTTTCTACAGACGGCTCTTTTGAACATTCACCTAATCCACCCCCGTTAGCAGTAGAGCTCATTTTGCTAACAAACCAATCATACATATGAATACGTCAAATTAAATTGATATGAAGTTAAATCAAAATATCCCAATAATAAGTCAACATGAATGCAACAATATACCAGTCTGCTGGGGGTCCAAGGGGCAGCGCCCCTGCGGAGGTTTTCGAGGGTAGCACCCTCGGAACAAAGTTTTATTATAAGAGTAATTTTGAAGTTCTGCTTGTTTTTAAAGTTCGTAAATTGTTTGTATGAGAAGATACCGAGTGGTACCGAGCATGTACCAAGCATGTACCTAGCGGTACCGAGCATATATTGAGCGGTACCGAGCATGTACTGAGCGATATCGAGCATGTACTGAGCGGTACCGAGCATATACTGAGCGGTACCGAGCATATACTGAGCGGTACTGAGCTTGTACCTAGCGATACCTCATTTAATAACCGGACATGCGTGTCCTATTTTAATTTTAATTTTTTAAATTGTGACACTACAATGCCGTGTCGGACACGTGTCCATGCCGTGTCCGACACGTTTAAGACAATGCATACCCTCTTTAAGCGGAGTGTCGGTGCATCATAGCATGTAATTCCCATATTTTTCTTTGGAAGCTCCAACTTGAAAGAAAATCTACCTTTTATTTGCACTTTTAGATTCTCTACAAATAAATTTAATAGTTGCTCTCTCTATTCTAATGTTTGACGTTTTTCTCATGCTATTACCATAGCACCCTTATTAATTTTCCAAGTGGCATCACAAAAGATTGAGATGTAATCTTTTTCACCAAGTTGCCTAATTGAGATGAAGTTCCTCTTTATTGTAGGAATGTAGCTCATATTATGAAGCGTTTATACTCTTCTTTTACTAGTCTTGAATTGTATATTACCAACTGTCAAGGTGTTCTAAAGTTAGTCCTTATTAAAAGTATTCTTCTCGTAACCCCAATTGAATATAGAACAATGTATTATAAATCTCTTCACTCTCAAAATTAGCAATGCCTTTATGTAATATAAGGTTTGTCCACCATTACCCCATGGACAATTCCTTTTCATGTATCCAATCATGACACATCAGCCGCATTCTCCATTGTGATATTTTAATTGCCTCCTCTGCTTAGAATTAGATCTACCTCTCCTATTGTTTCTCCTTGTACTTCTTCATTGGCTATCAAGGCTCAAAGAAACAAAAGATTGATTACTTAAATCTCACCTCTTGATATCCTCACTCAAGATTAGTGCACAAATATCATTGAGCTTCAACTTCGTATACCTATATGAACTGCTTACGAGTGCCATAGTTTCAGCTCCTTTTTTGTAATGATGATAAAAACCCAGTGCATGAATTTTGTCATCAAGATTGATATCAACCGACCTCGGTTAACTTATAACTAGCTTTACTAGATACACTTTATTCACTGCTGAAGGCCTCTTGTACATATCTACACATATGATGTAGTCTTCTCTATTGCATGTTGAAGGCAGTATTTTTCATCAATGATAGATATATAACAGAGCCATGGATTGGGTACCCATACTCACACCCACCCATACCCACACCCACCCATTTACCCACCCATACCCAATGTGGGTATGGGTTCGGTATTGGTATGCCCATGACCTCATGGGTGGGTACTTAACATCGAGAGATAAATGAATTTATATTGCTAATCATTGTATGTTGTATGTTACTGTAATTCTCGTGTCATGTTATTTTACTTATATAACAATGAACAGCGTTGCGACCACGGTAAATTCTAATATGTGACTTAAAAGTTTGTAGTTAGAGCAAGGAGTAACAAGCCTCAAAGCCATCAATTCATGACAGACTGCGCTCAAAAAGCGTGGAAAGTGGGTGGGTATTGATGGGTACAACATCTCGAAAATAACCATGGGTGGGCGTGTGTAGGCGAAGCCTACACGCGTTAAGCGTGGGTAGCCATTAGGTACCCAACTAGGATCCCATGTAGGGCTTTGGTATATAACTCTCAATGCCTATATGTACAAGAGATCTCAATCTTTATGTCTCATTGTAGTTGGCATCAACTAAAAAGGGGGTAGATGTAGCTCTCTATGTTATATATAATCCTCAATTTGCATTTTCCAGTACTGAAAAGTCCTTGACATCGAATAATGGATCCTCACCTTCTCATCTTTATACAAAATTGTTCCAACTTTTTGTGTATATAGTACAAAGCTAGCATAATTCTAATACTAATTACGAAAAAGTGACTGCATGAAATCAAAGATAAACATAAAAACAGGATTAATAATGTATAATGGAACAAAAAAAAATAGAAGATAAGAGAGTTTATGCGGTTCAGCAAGATCCTTACCACACAGAGATAAATGTCCAATAGTCTAGAGATAAATACAAGATATAAATATTTATCCATCCAAACACCTTTCTCTTTTATCTCACAACTATTATTTGCATTATCTTACTTTTATTTCGTCTCTATGTATGAGCATGATTCCTCTGCTTGTCATGCTCACTTAAGATTGAGGAAAGCCTTCCACATGTTATGCATATATGCTGGACTATCACATTGGTCACTGGCCCATGCGTAAGTAATTGATTTCCTCGCATTTAGGAATTCCTTCTATCACCTATGGCCTTTATTGATCATTGTCTATCATCCAATAGAGAAATCACTCTACATGGCATCAGCTAAGGTATCTATCAATATTCGATAACTCTAATTGTCACCTCTCTAACCTTCGCCTCTTACCCGTTGAAAAAAAGACGGAAAATGAGAAATGCTTCTCAATATCATGCAGCCATTTCTTTATATAATTCATAGAGGTAGTTAGTA